AGTATTATCTGAAAAATCCACCGCTGAAATATGTGGAAAACGTTACTTCACGTTCTTCCACCTGTTAATTTCATCCATATACTTTCCTGTCATAATTTATTATCAATTTAATTGAGCATGATATGGAAAATTTTTACTAAAAAAAAAAAAAAAAAATAAAATTTTTACTTTTTGTAACCCAACTTTTTCTTCTGATTCAAGAGTTATGCTTGATAAAATTACAGATGAATCGTAATATTTAATTTATTATTATTATCATTATTATTATTATTATTATTATTATTATATTATTATTATTATTATTATCATTATTATTATTATTATATTATTATTATTATTATTATCACTATTATTATTATTATTGTTATTATTACTATTACTATTATTATCATTATTATGACGATAATTATTATTATCACTAAAATTATTATTATCATTACCACTATTACTATAATTTACTTTTATCGATATTATTATTATTATCATTATCATCATCATTATCGTCATCCTTATTAATTATTATTATTATTATCTTTGTCGCTATCATTATTAACCAATATTATTATCATTATTTATTATTATTATTATTATTGTTATTATTAATATTATTGTTATTATTATTATTATTATTATTATTATTATTATTGCTATTATTATTATTATTATTAATTATTAATTATTAATTATTACTATTATTATTATTGCTATTATTGAGGAGGATTAAGTCATTGTATTACATTTATTGAAAATTAGTAAAATGATGTATATTTAATGAGTTGCATAACATCGCAGTTTTTGGTTCAATGAAAAAGGAAAAAAAATAAAAAATAAACAAATAAAACTGAAATATTGAATTTATCAAACAGTAAATATATGCAAAATTCGAAATTCAAAATTTTTTTTTTGCGAAATTAATTTTTCCCTTCACCGATAGGTACTGTAACAATTGTGCAATATTGAAATTCCACTTTTTTTTATTTTTAATCTTAAAATAATATATAGAAATGGAATAACCAAAGAATTGAAGTGTAATGGAATGATCACGGAATTGAAATATTTTTACTTTTTTTTAAATTAATCGATAAATAAATATCGCTCAATTATTTCGTCATTAATTTTCTTCATTTTGTCACAGTGGTCTAGCTAATTTGGTGGTATAGAATAAAAGATTTTGTTCACTTAAAAAAAAAACTTTTTATTGTAAAAATTTCAATTCTAAAATAGTACAAAGTGATTTAAAAAAATTTTTCATACATTTTAGTTGTCTTTTTTTCTTTTTTTTGTTTCGTTCCTTTTTTGATTGATTTTTCCCTTCCTCTTCCGTTTCTTTTTACTTCCTTTTCTTTTTTGTTTCTAAAAAAAATAACCAAAAATTTCTTGCTACATTTTTTAAAATATTTCTGCTGAAAGGGAAGAGCAAAAATTTAAATTAATATTGAAATTATAATTTGAAATATTTAATAATATCGATAATTTATCCGATGAATATATGCATCATTTTATTAGTTTTATTAATTCTTACTCACACTTTTCACTAATGATTCGACTAATGCAACTTTTGTAAAGTTGTAATTGGAACTGTATTTGTCATACGATTTTACTGTATTATTGACTAGTGAGAAAAAAAAATTTTTTTTGATTTGAAAAATTTTATTGTTGGATAGAAATTGGATAATTTTCAAAATTCAAACTGTAAAATTATCGTGACCTTATGACCTTTGTCATTAGAGTAGAAAATAATGTCAGGTGTAAACTTTTGAGATTTCAAACTCTAATTCACAAAATATTTAATTGCTAATAGGAAAATATTAAATTCTTTTTTTCAAATTTACGATTCAAAATATTGACAATATGCAAAATTTCGCAATATTTTTAATAGTATGCTAACCTATAAATAATTGGAAATTAATAATATAAAAATAAACTTATCAATTTCATCTTAACAAAATTTTTGAAAATATTTATGTATTTAATTACAGATCATGTTATTTATGACAGGGTGACCACATGACCTCACTAGCATCCTGACAACTATCCTAAAAGAAAGACAACTCTAACTGCAAATCTGGGCAGATGAAGTACGTTTAGCCCTATAAAATCATCATCCTAGCTAGCTAGCTAGCTAGCTATAAAATCCATTTCAGATGAGAATATAATCTAAACAAAACTTGCGTCTTGAGGACTTCACTGTCACCATCCTAGCTACCTAGCTAGCTAACTCTTAGCACATTAATGTTAAAAGTAAAGGATGGCGACAGTTCCGCGTGTGCTAAAAAGTAAAAGCCATTGTACAGTTTTGAAAGTTGCATCACATTTGTGACGTTTGCACTACCTATGCTTATAAATAAAGTTTTTCTCAAATCTTCATATGCAAAGTTCAGCTTTGATACTATTTATAATTTCGGCTTATTAATAAATTTACCATATTTACGAAATATTTAATGTATTAGGCAAAAAATTTGCAAATATTTTATTTCAAATTCAAATTCTTCACTAATATATGCAGTTAAAAACGATTCATCACAAATATATTTTTTTTAAAAAAAAGCAACTATTCTACAATAAGAAAATTTTCCTTTCACAAAATATATTTAAATTCAAAAATTAAGTAATTAAAAAATGATAAAATAACAAATAAAAAAAATTGCACTATATTAGCGTAATTACAATACTGTATTTATATTTATCCAACAATTATACAATAGAAATAACAAATGAGGTCGAAAAAAAATGAATTGAAAATGCTCAAAAAATTGTAAAAACAAAAGTTTAAAATAAAAAGAATTGAATTAAAATAAATTTAATTATTCCAAATATATTTTTAATGAAATTTATTTAAAAAAATAATTTATCTCATAATTCGAAAGAAAAGATAACAACAATACGATGATATTTATGGTACAAAAAAAAAATTTTGCAACAAAAGAAACAAAAAAAAGAAAATGATTCAGTTAAGTTTTGAATTTTTAAATTTTTTTAAATTCCAAATTAATAAAAGCTATATTGAATGTATAAAAATAAAAAATGACAACAAACAAATTATTTAATAAACCGTGGAAAAATTTGATTTTGAAAATTATCCGATATTTTTGTTACAACTGGTGATGATGGTGATCGGATTGAATCATCGTGGATAATCGTTTTTCCGGTTGGCAAAAAATCATCATCGTTATTATTATTATTATCATTGTTATTGTTATTAGTAGCATTGTAATAGGTATTGCAATGATTAGCAGCATTATTTTCGAGAATTGGTGATAGCTGAAATTTAAAAAGAAAATAAGAACAAATTTGATAAAATTAGAAATGAATTTTAATTGAATTCATAATTACAAGTACATAATGTTTAGTTTATAAATATAGCAATATAAGATAGCATATTCAATGAATTTTTTCAATATTTAATAAAAATTAATTGCATTCAATTCGAATTAATAATAGAAATTAATTACATTCAATTCAAATAAATAATTTTTTTTTTGTGCGAATTATTTCAATCTTTAATTTCTTTCCTATTTTTTCTTTTTTTTTTGTAATTTCTTCAATATGGAAAAATAGATTTTCCTAAAACTGCAAATTTATCTAAACTTATAAAATATGTATCGAAGTAATTTTTATAATTTTTAAATTTAAATCAAAATAATATTTCAGTTTTCTTTATTACTTTAATAATTATTTTGAAAATTCCAAAATTTCAAATTTACCATATTATTTTAAATAAGATTCTAAAATATGAAGGCATACATTAATTTTTTTCATTGATTTCGTGGTTTGATTGTTTATCATAAATATTATCAACTAATAATTTACCATAAATATTATCATTTATCACTTTTTTTTTTTAAAGACTTCCTATCATATACTATCAAATTTAAAAGAAAAAAAAATTTTTTTACTTACAACTTTAGCATGACGAACATATCGCATTGTTTCTACTGAACAATGTTGTACACATACTTCTTGTAGTACCATTTCAAAATTTCGTCTTGATTGATGCATTATAAGCACTGCAAAATTAAATAATTTAAATAAAATTTCAAAAAAAAATTTTTTTTGTAATTTGTAATTTTATTTAAATTCAACAAATAATTTTGGAAAATGTTTAAGATAATAATAAATTTTACAACAATTATTGTACAATTATAATTCAATACGATTAAAATTAATCTGAAATTTATTAAATTAGCAACAAATAAATGATCATTCGAAATTTTGCAATAATATATTTTAGAAAGTATTGGCAAAGGCTTTATTTATTATTATTATTAATCGGTTTGAATGAAATTACTTAATGGCTTGATAATTGGTGACTTTTTTTTTCTCCTGAAATTTCATTCATGGTTCCTAAATTTAAAATATTGGATCTCGAAATTTCTCCGCATCTCCGATTTTTTTTCTTTTCATTGAAATAGAATGATTAATAAGTTTTTGTTGTTTGCGCAAAAATATTTTAAAAATATGCAAAAAACTTGCAAAAAAAAATTTTTTGATATAAACAATCCGACAAATTGAATTAATCAATTTCAAACTGCTAGTTACTAAGTGTTTGCATGCTTCTGCATCAAATTTTGTAAATTATTTTTAAAATAAAATTTGAAAAAAAAGGAAAAGTAAAATGGGAAGAGAGGAAAGGATTTGAAAATTAAACAAGAAATGATAAATTGCTAGTTGCTAAGTATTCGCAAGCTTCCGCATCAAATTTTATAAATTCCTTTTGAAATGAAATTTGAAAAAAAAGAGGAAGAACAAAATAGAAAGATAGGAAAGGATTTGAAAATTAAACGAGAAATGATATATCAATTAATTGATAAAAGTGAGTGACAAAAATGTTGTGCCGTATCATTCATTTCAATATAATGCTAAATTATAATTTCAAATTATTCGTTAATCTATTCTGGATTTTTAATTCTTTAATTAATTAAAATATCTTAATTTCTGCTAAAATAACTTGTTGATGTTTAAGAGAAAAAAACATTTTTTATTTTGGATCAATTTAATTTTTATTTTTGTAATGAAATTAAAAATATTGATGATGTTATCTTGTTCTAAGCAAATTAAACTATTATTCTTTGTACTTTTTCCTATACTACCAAGCATTTCTAAATGGTTAAATTAACAGTAATGCAAAAATTAAACTAACAATCAACGAAATGCATTCATTTCCTGTAATTATTATCATTTTCCACCTAACAGTATTTGAAATTAATAATGCATGCAACAAATTATTTTACATCCACCAATGATTTCAAATGTTATTAGCCAAAAAATTGATTTTAAATTTGAAAAAGTTCTTAAATTCCAATTTTTATATTTTTGTCATTATTTGATTTGATATAGAATCTACATTAAATATTAGATATTTAGATTAATTTTTCCTTTTTTTTTTGTAGACAAAAAGAATATTTTCCACGACAAATTTCAAAAAATATTAGGTATTTAGACAAAATTCTTCATTTATTAAATTTCAAAGCTTACATCGACTTGTATTTGATTAAATAAAAATGATACAATTAATGGAAATGTTAAAATACTAATACATTTAGTTAACATATTAAAATACCAATACATTAAAATATCGGTATTAAAATATCAACACATTGAAATATCGATATTAAAATACCAATACACTAAAATATCGATATTAAAATACCAATACATTAAAATATCGATATTAAAATACCAATACATTAAAATATCGATACTA